AGGAGGGCAACTCACAAGCACCAAAACCATGTCATTGCCCATAGGCTATGCATAATGTTGCTTCAAAACAATACTGGAACAGCATGGAAAGCACCCCAGAGAAATAGCCCTTACATGGCTGCAGATAACTTATGAATCAGTGTTCATCCTTGGTTGACTCAGCCCTGAGTGACCACGTAAAGAGCACCCATCAGTTGTCTTCAGCATAAAGAAGTGTTCAGAGTTTAGCACAAGAATCCATTACATGAACTTGCCAGTGACATCCTATAAGGAACAGGTGGTCTGCATACCATATGGTGTTTTCTGTTGCTGTTTAAAACACCACAACTGCAATGTTATGTTCACTCTGATCCTGCCATTGGTCAATCTATTCTGGTAAATATGACCAGGCATATGGTAAATTAAAAACTCTTTAGTGTTCAAAGAGCAACATAGCTCCAAGAGCACTTCTTTTCTTCTAAGTTCCAAAGTGTTCTCCTCAAAGTTCTGCAAGAGAAACTTTGATCTATCTTCAATAAGACTGTCGCACCTAACTAGGGAAATACGGTGGTACCCCGGGTTACATACGCTTCAGATTACAGTGGTACCTCAGGTTAAGTACTTAATTCGTTCCGGAGGTCCGTTCTTAACCTGAAACTGTTCTTAACCTGAAGCACCACTTTAGCTAATGGGGCCTCCTGCTGCCGCTGCACCGCCGGAGCACGATTTCTGTTCTCATCCTGAAGCAAAGTTCTTAACCCGAACATATACTTCAGGTTACAGACTCCGCTAACCCAGAAATAGTACCTCGGGTTAAGAACTTTGCTTCAGGATGAGAACAGAAATCGTGCTCCGCCGCCGCAGAAGCCCCCATTAGCTAAAGTGGTGCTTCAAGTTAAGAACAGTTTCAGGTTAAGAACGGACCTCCAGAACGAATTAAGTACTTAACCCGAGGTACCACTGTACTGATTCCGGATTCCAGCCCCCACAGAGGTCTATGAATGCAGGCTTCCCCTTTTCAGACGTCCATCCTAAGCACGTGGTAAGTCAATCTTGCAACCACAGGCAACGGCACAGCTTCACTGCCCTTTTAAGCATGTGGAGCCCCTTCACACAATTAACACATGAAGAGGGACTATAAAATAATCCTGTTCTAGTCCTGCAGTTTATAGATGTGAATACATACATGCATGTAGAACTGGATTAGGGAAACTTCAGCCCTCTTGATTTTGTTGCGCTACAAACCCCATTATCTCTGATTCTTGGCCATACTGGTTGGGGTCGATTGGAGCTGGAGCTGGAGTCCAGCAATATCTGGTCCAAACAATTCCCCACTCTGATCAAGGACATGGCAATCCAGGTCTAGATACCGTTCCCCCCAAAAAAAATCACTCCCCCCCCAAACACATACGACACTTTCTCCCCATGTCCAAGTGTTCATTAAAAAGTAAATTTTAGAGATGACACAACTACACACAAATCTCAACATTTCTCTACACAGTCCAATAGCTCTCTAAATATATATTTAGCAAGAAAAGGAACTGGTGGGGTGGGGAAGATTTTCAATCACTGAACTGTATTCACTTACGGCACAAATGCAAATATACACAAAGGGATGGATTCTAGAACAGGACGCATGTGCGAATAGCAAAGCCATGAACCACAAATATATGTCAGTCACACTCGTGGCAACTTGCTCAACCTTCTTAAGTTTCATTCGTCCCCCCTAACGCATCTCAACTCATGTATACAATACATGGGCCTGTGTATAATATTTGAGCACTAGGTAAGAGGAAGGCAGGGAACCTTCTTATGAGGAAAATGAAGGTGAGCAGGGCTTTTTCTCCAATTCCAACAGGTGGGCGCCATTGCCATTGTAAGAGGACAAGGGAGGCGTCCATGTTGAGTTCCGGCACCCCTTTTTCTAGAAAAACAGCACTTAAGGTGAGCCTAGTGTTAACCACTGACATACAGTCAAGAGGTATGTAAAATTATGAAACAAAGATGAAATAAATATATCTCAAAACAAGTAAAATAATGAAATAAAGAATGAAGAGGAACAAGCAACCATCCTCATCCACAGTCAATGGCCTCAAGTTATTGGGGCTACCACTTCACTACACATTTAGGGATCCCAGTGCTGTTCAACAACAGGGCAAGAAGTGGTTCCTGCGGCCTTCCCTAGAGGTGGGCAGAAAGAGAGATGTAGAGGGCACTGGGGTGTCTTGCCTTGTAAAGGGACCCCTGACCATTAGGTCCAGTCATGGCCGACTCTGGGGTTGTGGCGCTCATTTCGCTTTATTGGCCGAGGGAGCCGGTGTGCAGCTTCCGGGTCATGTGGACAGCATGACTAAGCCGCTTCTGCAAACCAGAGCAGCACACGGAAACGCCGTTTACCTTCCCACTGGAGTGGTACCTGTTTATCTACTTGCACTTTGACGTGCTTTCGAACTGCTAGGTTGGCAGGAGCAGGGACTGAGCAACAGGAGCTCACCCCATCGCAGAGATTTGAACCGTCGACCTTCTGATCAGCAAATCCTAGACTCTGTGGTTTAACCCACAGCGCCACCCACATCCCTGTCTTGCCTTGTACTAGCCGACAAATTGCTGAATGAGTTCCCATCTCTCTCGGGAATGTGTTAGGTGGCTGCAGATGACTCATTATTGTTGTGCACTTCCTATGCACTCCCAGAACCCCTTATAACTTCCAGGCCCTGTATAAAAGGTCAACAGTGTCTCAGTACTGTAACAGGAATGGAGGGTTTCCAAGTAGTTGAATGCACACTGTAGTAAGTTACCGCTGTCTGTATTGACTCTCTATTCACCCATCACAAAAGAAAAAAACTCACGGGGCAAGAGACTGAACAGAATTACTAGACAGCCTCCCTTTTCTCCTCCTCTTTCTGCTTACAACTTAGGTACCCACAAACTCAGACACCCAAATCCAACAAACCACAAACATTTCGATACTATCAAGTCATTTGTCTGAAAATGTCAAGTCACACGGTCACCACACAATCCAACAGAATTTGTGGGAAGCACAAGCGAATTGGCTTGCATGGTTTTGCCAAATCCTGGGCTCTGTTGTGGTGAGCAAGTTGATATGGCATCAGCATGCAAAGAAAAGAAGATGTCAACTGCGACTTGCGTGGAGATTTGAGCTTACACTGGCAACTTTCCCAACGCAGCTGAACAAAGAGTAAGAGAAGGCACAGGGTGGTACACAGTAATCTCATGCAATCAGTAATTTTTGATTCTTCACTCAATCTTCCCCATACTTCTAAACTTTTATTATTTTTATGCTGCTTCACTCTAATTTAGATCTGCCTTAATTTCCAAGACAAGCTGTTGGAAATAAGGAGACAACTGCTCTCCCAGAAAGAGGATAACCAGAACTAATGAGCAGCTTTCATTTTGGAGCACACAATTACAATCAAGTTGAACGCGACAGTGAGGGGAGGGGAAAACCGGGGGGGGGGGGTCTCTTGTGTGGCTGAGGTGCTTCCACCTGGCACTACTTCTACTAGTTCAGTTTGCAAAGGAAGAAAAGGAAGCAGGCAGGCAAAATGAGAGAGGAAGAAGACGGGAAAACTGCAAGGATGCACAGGCCACACAAATGTCACATTAAGACAGCTGCCACCATTGAGCTTCTGGGAGTGAGTGAGTGAGTGAGTGAGTGTGTGCGAAGGCACCATTAAGTTTACACATGTAGAAGCCTATTTCACATTGAAACAGTCTAGCCATCTTAAACCGTCAACTGTAATCCTCTTGATTACAATTACTCTCTATCACAATGTGTCATGGAAAATTATAGGAGTGTTCCATCACAACGCGCCTCAGGTTCAGAATTTGTTTGCTTTTGTACACAGTAGGCTAGTACACCCACTCAGAAACCCCCCTCTGCCTTCCTTCCAGGCAAACTGGAAGCATCAATGGCACATTCCAACCATTGGGGGGACGACCACTCAGTGTGGGTGCAACTTGTATGGAACAATCCCAGGGATGTTTTTGTGCTGATTTTGTCCTCATATGTTATACACCGCCTTGAAATGTTTCAATAAAAATGCCGATTATAAATATGCAGATAAACAAACAGAATGTTGACAGGAACCACCACCTAAAGTCTGTGAGAGTGTGGCACTCCATTTGCTACTACTTCTATTATTAATAATAATATTAAATGATCAACTGCAGTCCCAAGGCCGATTGCAACAATTTAAAATACAACATTAAAAACAACTTAGAGCAGTGTTTCCCAATTAGCTGTTTTTCAAAGCCCAAGCCATGGTCCTGTTACTTTTGAAAATTTCAATAACTCTATGGTAGTTTTTGTTATGTGGGTGGCGCCACAGTCCCTCCGGGGTCCACGGACCACCAATTGGTAACCACTGACTTAGAGCAGGCATGCCCAACAGGTAGATCGTGATCTACCAGTAGATCCCTGAACAGCTGTGGTGGATCACTGGGTCCCCAAAGAAGTTCAGAAAGTTTGCCCTGCATGCTAAGAAACTGTGCTTTTCCTCCTCTCAAAAAAAAGCTCAAAAAATTTGACCTGAACCCCCCAAAATGGGGTAGATCACTACCAGTTTGAGTAGATCGCAGTCTCTTGGGAGTTGGCCACCCATGACTTAGAGCATTTGGCCTGGGCCTATGTAAATTTCATCAAATTTGTGGCTGCAGTGGCAATAAAGAAGAATCAATCATTCTCCATTGGGGGGCGGGGAGTGATGACTACAGTCAGAGCTGCACATACAAATTGCTGCCTGGCTGGAATAAGCTGAAGTGGTACAGCAGTTAAGAGCATGAGCTGGAAAGTCCTTCCACCGTACCCCTCCTAGGTGGCCTTAAAGCAGCATTTGTCTATCAGCCCCCATCTGCTGCCTGTAATAGGAGGATAATAGTGTTGGTCAACGTTAACTTGGAATTGCCCGCGCCACACCCATTTTGTCAATAGCGCAGGTGGTTTTTGAACAATATACTGGGTATTCTGAATTACCGGAAGAGTCCAAAGCTCGTCTTACCTTTGAAGCTTGCCGTAGCCACCGCAAGTACTCAGTGAAAGTGTCGAAACAGATGTAGTAACTCTGGCTCTGAGGTCCAGAAGAGCTAAATGCTAAACAGTGCTGGTGCTTTTTAACTTCTTCAACCTGCATTTTTAGGGGGAGGGGGGAAAGGATTGGAAAAAATACAAAACCCAATATGAGTATATTCAACTATTTTTGATTAAATTGCTTTACTGTGTATTTCAATTAGGGGTAGTTATATTTTTAATAGATTGGTTTTATACTTGCTATTTTGCTGTTGGCATTTGCTTGTGAACCATCCTGACTTTTCTTTTTGAAACGAAAGGCAATATTTAAATACTAACAATACTTTTAAAAGATGGAAGCGGAGCCTCTGAATTAACCAGCAGCGGTGCTAAACTAAAGGGTCCTGCAAGGATTTCCTCCTGTGCAACAGGACTTCCCCCCAATCTTCTCCCCCTGCCCTCCTCCCTAGATCTGCTCCAGTGGGTAGTCAAAGAAGAGATTTAGGGGGTGCACAGAGTGAGGGAGATGGAGTCCCATCAGAGAAGCAGAAATCCTCACTCTTGAAGGACCAGAGCTGCTTTGCATCCAACCTAATCAAGACTCAAAAAAAGACTCAAAGACTTCCAGTATGACAGAAAAGCGATGTGTACAACATTTAACGTTACACAGTTCCCAGAGTGGCTATGTTGTTGAGGCCAAAGTAAGCCGAGAACACCATCCTAAATCATCCAGACTCCATTCATTTGGACTTGTTAAGCGTAAGAGTTTTCAAGATCCACATAATTATGCAAAAATGTTTGATGCCATGCAGGCTGCAATGCTATCCATATTTACCTGGAATTAAGCCCCACTGAATACAATGGGACTTCCTTTTGGGTAAACCCTCAAAGGATTACACTTGTCAATTTAGATACCTCTATGAACCGGGAAGTATTAGGAGGCCAAGTGGGTCTGAAAGCACAAGGTCACAGTTCTTAATACCTCGTTTCAGCTTTATAGCAAGATCTTTTAATTAGCAAGTTGTCAACACCATTCTGCCTCTTAGATTCACCACACCCTTCTTGAGGGAAACAGAGCAGCTGATATGCAAAACTGCTGGGGTGCATGAAGTATAGCGTGTGCTGCTAATGTATGGGGTGGGGGTGGGGAATGCTGATAAATCTGTTGCAGAGAAATCTCAATAAAAGGTTTAGTTGGTGCTTTTAAGTGCCTTTACAAGATACATTAAATACTCCTTAACATAGCTGTCAACTTACAGATTTGAAAACAAGGGACCAGCAGCCTCGAAAATAAGGGATCAGCAGCCAAAATAAGGGATTTTCCGAACACAGGTATGTTCAACTTCTGAGCCCCTCCGAGCCAAAGGCAGAAAGCCCAGCCAGCAGCCAAACGAAGCCTCAAGCGGTGGTTCCCACAGTGCAGCAACCCGGCAAAGGGGATGCAGCAAGGAAAACCACCGTCACCTCTCCGCTGGGAAGCGCTGAGCAAAGGCGAGTCCCCAGGCAACGCGGCCGATTTGATCGGCACAAGGCATGTAAGCTCCACCCCCCCAGTCATTCTTAAGACTCCTTATTGGGTGAGCAAGGCAGCCAAGCAACACAGTTGGAGCCTCCCTCCTCCCTGGCCGGCAGGGAGGGAGGGAGAGGAGCTGCTTCCTTTGAAACCCGGGAAATTTAAGGGACATCATCAATAAGGGACAGCAGCAGGACACAGAGCTGGGATAAGGGACTTTCCCACCAAATAAGGGACGGTTGACAGCTATGCTCCTGAAAGAATTCTGGCTTTCCCCCTAGTTTCCAAAACTGCATAAAACAGAGCTCTTATCCTCTCTTAAAGCATTTGTTTAAATGAACAAGGCTTCCTGCAAGTAAGAGTTTTCTTCCTACATCTCGTAAGACTAGAACCATTTTTTAAATAATAATAATAAAAAAAACCCAAATAATTTCCAGGGAAGACTCAAATGCAATGTGTAAATCTTTCCAACTAAAGCAATTTAGATCTACTCATAACTATGAAGGACTGTTTTGACAAATCACAGAGCTCCACACATTGTGAAGTGTCAGGGCACATCTACACGTTTCAAAGAACATGGACTGCCTCCAAAGAACAGCTGTTCCATACAGAGTCTTCCCCTCCACACACCCACAACTCAAGTTATGCCATGCCATTCTGTACGAGTTTGCACATATTGCTGGTTGCTTCTGGCAGGGAAACACTGTTGTAACAACTAGATTTATTAGACTTGCAGAGAGTTTGAAAGAAACACTAAACACAAGGGTCTGTGGGGGCAGATTTGTTCTCCTTGGTGGCAGAAAGGAGGGTGGTGAATTCACGTGTTTGTGGATACAAAATAATCAGATATCTTGGCAGTTCCCTCGCTGCAAGAAGTGAAGTTACAGGGAACCAAGCAGAGGGCCTTCTTGGCAGTGGCACCCGCCCTGTGGAACGCCCTCCCATCAGATGTCAAACAGAAAAACAATGATACCACTTTTAGAAGACATCTGAAGGCAGTCCTATATCGGGAAACTTTTCATGTACAATGCTCTGTTGTGTTTTTGTATATCCTGTTGGAAGCCACCCAGAGTGGCTGGGGCAACTGAGTCAGATGGATGGAGTAAAAAGGTAAAGGTACCCCTGCCCGTACGGGCCAGTCTTGCCAGACTCTAGGGTTGTGCGCCCATCTCACTTAAGAGGCCGGGGGCCAGCGCTGTCCGCAGACACTTCCGGGTCACGTGGCCAGCGTGACATCACTGCTCTGGCAAGCCAGCGCAGCACACGGAAACGCTGTTTACCTTCCCGCCAGTAAGCGGTCCCTATTTATCTACTTGCACCCGGGGGTGCTTTCGAACTGCTAGGTTGGCAGGCGCTGGGACCGAGCAACGGGAGCGCACCCCGCCGTGGGGATTCGAACCGCCGACCTTTCGATCGGCAAGTTCTAGGCACTGAGGCTTTTACCCACAGCGCCACCCGCGTCCCATGGATGGAGTACAATCAATCTATTATTATTATTATTATTATTATTATTATTATTATTATTATTATTACCTATATTCTGCACCCAAGTGAAGGTGCTAGTATACAAGAGTTTTTCACAGCTTAAGTCCTCTGTATGTGAAGAAGTGAGTCATACACTTTTGCCAGCCATTACATTAGGCATTTAGCACACACTTTTGCCGTGACTCAGGCATCGTTGGCCCAGGCTAACCCTCTGGGAGAAGTCGATGCACTCAGGGTTCATGCTGCCCTTGGCCATCTGCAGAGTGTACCTGCTTGTTCATATCACCGACGGAGGGTAGATTGACCCTGAAGAACAGTATGGGACAGGTGCTCCTGTTGCAATCCCATCAATCATGACTTTCGGCCATGCTACCTGGGACTGGTGGGATACCAGCAAAACCTGGAGTCCGCAGGTGCCCCATCCCTGTGTTTCTAAGGAAACACTTAAGCAACTGTATTTCTAGAATGGCACCAGTGTGGATGCTGGGAGCTGTGGTTCTCATTACCAGCTGCCATCCAATAAGGGTTGTAGTTAGTTAAACCCTGCTTGGCCCTGTATACCCAAAGGAGCATCTCTACCCCCATCATTTAGCCCGGACACTGAGATCTAGCTCTGAGGGCCTTCTGGTGGTTCTGCGAGAAGTAAAGTTACAGGGAACTAGAGGGAGGGCCTTCTTGGTAGTGGTGTCTGCCCTGTGGAATGTTCTCTCATCAGATTTCAAGGAAATAAATAACTATACAACATTTAGAAGACATCTGAAGTCAATCCTGTATAGGGAAGTTTTAAATGTTTTATTATGTTTTATATTTGCTGGGAACCGCTCAGAGTGGGTGTGGGGTATTATTAATAATAATAATCCTAGAAAGAATATGCAAGGGTATGTGAGGAGAAGGAAGAAGATGTGGCCAAAGATTGGAAGTTGTTAAGCCAGATGTAGAGAATACAGTGGTACCTCGGGTTACATACGCTTCAGGTTACAGACTCCACCAACCCAGAAATAGTACCTCGGGTTATGAACTTTGCTTCAGGATGAGAACAGAAATTGTGCTCCGGCGGCGCGGCAGCAGCAGCAGGCCCCATTAGCTAAAGTGGTGCTTCAGGTTAAGAACAGTTTCAGGTTAAGAACAGACCTCTGAAACGAATTAAGTACTTAACCTGAGGTACCACTGTACAGACTGGTAATAACAAAATGCTACTATTTAACACAGTGATTTAATGACCATTAAGGCTGCTGTGTTAAATTTCATTCAAGTCCATAGGTCTAAATCAGATTAAACACATGCATATCGGTGTAAATTGACTCATGCATTATAGCCTTTATCCAATTCAGTACGAGTTGCTGTTTACACACTGAAGCATACAAAGTAGAATTAATTTGCCAGTGTGGGCTGCCTTGCAGTCCCTGCTAAAACTTTTAATAAATTCTATTCAAGCAAATAATTTTGAAATAGCTACTACTGGGATGTGACCGCTTCTAGTGAGAAAAGGTGGACCATCTGAATTGTTCAGTTGTGTTGTATTGAATTGGTTATTTCTGTCATTCTTGGATTTCTTTCCTTCCCCAAAACCAAAATTAAAAGTTGGATGAAAGATACAAAACCTTTTTCTTTTCTTTTTTCTTTTTTTGCAAACCTTTAAACAAACCTTTGGGCAGCTGTTTTGCAAGACTGTAATTCTGAATGCATGATTCCATTTGCCCATTAGCAGCCCACTCAACTTATTTTGCCAGGACTGCTCAGAAGCAACAATTTCACATGCCTTTTGAAAGCCAAGATCTACCCAAAGATTCAGAGTGGGTGTGCAAGGAAGGTGTGCAGAGGTATAAAGGGAAATATTAATGGCTGGAGAGCACAAGACGGACCAGCAGATACATTATGTATTTCAGGGCTTTACAACCCAATTGATAGTTGAATTCTTAAAAGTTGCTTTGAAAAAAATGAAACAATGTGAACATATGCAACTCCTTGCATGTGTAACAAGAAATGAAGTAAGCCAGAGAACGAATGAAAATAAGTATCCTCACTGCCTTCTGCACAACACTGCTTTTTTGCACTGGAACGCTTGCAATTACCACCAATTTGCTGAGCACAAGCAAGACAACATTTTGCCATCAAGCTCTTGCATTCAAAGTGATTACAATTTTGCAAAGGTGAAACGGTTATTTGAATTGCTCATTTGATTCTTTATCTAGCAATTTTTAAAAATTGACTGTGGTGGTGAATGAACTGCACAGTATGGCTGGGACACTGATGGTCAGGTTAATTTGGTAGTGTTAATGAGATCACCAGTTACTCATAACACAACCTCTCTCCTGCCATGCCTATAATACTTTAGAGCAGGCACAAGGAACATGTGGTCCTCTCTTAGATGATGCTGGGACTCCCATTAGCCTCAGACAGCCTGGCCAACTCCCAGGGATCATGGGAGTTGTAGTCCAACTACTTCTGAGAGGGCTGCAGGCTTTAACAAGGAGTTCCTTAAGATGAAGCTAGCCTAATGACTTAACTGCTTTCTTAAGCCTCAGAGCCTCTTCAGCACAGAGAGGAACAGAGTTGTCAAAGCAGTGGCAGAAAACAGGACGCCTCTGTTATTGACTAGGCATGATAAGAACACAACAATCCTCCGACTCTGTCGGGTCAACAGAGCAGTGTGTTTTGCCTGTTGCCCTTCATTGTCAGGGTCAAAGAGTTGCTTGTTCAGGTCACAGCTCAAGACCCCCCCAACCTGGAAATCAACTCAAAGATTCTGGGCTGGAAAATAACGGCGCTACCCATGACGCCAACCCATTAAACATTACATCACTAGGCCGCCGTAAGATCAGAAGGTGCCTTTTCCAAGGCACAATGATGACGCACAGACTTTTAGACAGTATTATGGCAACAAAGCCTCTGCAACGAAGAGTCAGAGATACACAGAAAAGAAATTAAAAATTCAAAATGAACATGGCTTCTTAAAGCAATTCATGTACATAATTTAGCAGAACATGAAGAGGAGAAATAGTATAGTGCAACTGAAAATCTCACCACCCCACTCCCATTAGGATCCAAATGGAAATGCTGTGTAGCCAGATCTACGCCCAATGGGAAACTTTTACAGGATCTGGTTAATTGTTTCTGGTATACCATATATGCAGAGTAACCGAGTGATTCACTTGCCTTTCCACCGATTAAGGGGAGCACATGCATCTTTCCAGTCTGGCTCTCTTTCACCGAAGATACAATTAGGCACGTCCCACAAAGGATAACTTGGCGTCTTGTCCATCTGTTGACCGGCAAATGCATTTTCCCTTTTCGAACATTGTACATTCCTGAGAGCTGAATCCGTTCAGAGTTGCCAATGCTGTGGGGCTTTCCTGAAATGGAAACAGCAAGCAGCTTTTATCAGTAAAAAAAGGGAAGCTTTCCTCTTTCAAACATGGCTCAAAAGGCGCAAGACAGCGAGACAAAATGAAGGCAGTCGTGAGAACCCGCAGGTTCGCAGGGCCCTACAGCTTAAAAAATACACAGCAGTTTATGGAGCTTCGCATTTTGCTTTCTGCAAACCCCAATCCCATGAACAATTGGGGGGGGGGGAGGAGATAATCTATGCACACAAAATAGTCCCATGAACTCCAGGACTTTGCACAACTGGTTTCTCAATCCGCATGAGAGGATGGATGTCTTGGACCACATCAGAACCCCAGGAGATAGCTCAAAGACTGCAGGGTCAAAGAAGCAGTCCTCTGGCTGTGATGCCTACTGTTATTATTAATTATATTTGTTACCTGCCTTTCATCACAAATTCCCAGGTCTGATAACCCTGGGCCAACCTTGAACGATTTATTGTTTTAGCTAGAAGCTACCTGGACCATATTAAGACACAGGTAGGTAGCCGTGTTGGTCTGGACATAAATCTGACATCAGAAGCCGGTAGGAGAACCCTTCAATCTCCCAGGACATTCAGTACAGGATCTCAAAGCAGCTGCCTTATTACAAAAGAAGTTCAGATATAGACTTGAAAGAGAAGTTGCTGAATTACAACTTATTACTAAACTGAAAACTATGGAGAGACCTCATATGAATAGAGATATTGGATTCTTGTCTCATTACATATGCTAAAGCTTTTTTTGGTCATCTGCATACCATCCCTTGCTTTTTCCTGTAGGACTAATTACAGTCGTCAACAGATTTACCATACCCATTGAATCAATCACCTATCTCCTACTACCCTTCTGAGAAAAACCCCACCCCACCCTCACACTATATATAACGGTCTGGTGACTTCTGCTTCAGTGTATCTGAAGAAGTGCACATGCACACGAAAGCTTATACCCAGAACAAGCTTAGTTGGTCTCTAAGGTGCGGGTGGCGATGTGGTCTAAACCACTGAGCCTCTTGTGCTTGCCCATCAGAAGGTTAACGCGGTTCGAATCCCCGCAACAGGGTGAGCTCCTGTTGCTCTGTCCCAGCTCCTGCCAACCTAGCAGTTCGAAAGCACGCCCCAAAAAATTAGATAAATAGGTACCACTCTGGTGGGAAGGTAAACGGCATTTCCATGCGCTGCTCTGGCTTTGGTGGTCCGTTGTGCCAGAAGCAGCTTAGGCATGCTGGCCACATGACCCAGAAAAACTGTCTGCGGACGAACACCGGCTCCCTCGGCCTGTTAAGCGAGATGAGCGCCGCAACCCCAGAGTCGCCTGCAACTTGCTGCCAAACCATCATTAGCAACAGCTACAAAATTAAAGATTTTGATGTTTAGAGAGCACCTATACTGCAGGTCTTGTAGGAGTCAACCAGTACAACTTAGAAAAGAAGCACAAGGGCACTGAAAACAAGCACCAGGAGCTTCAACTTCTGCACAATTTTTTCTTTTATAACACAGCATTGTGCACAAAGCACCAGAGGAGTTTCCATATGATGGAATGGCCATCAGCTAAGTTAGAGCAGCAGAACTCGGTCCACATATTGCATTGCCCAAAACACACATTGAGTGTTAAAAGTGCGGCAGCAGTGGGAGAGAAAAAGGGAAAGATGGGCAAATCTTTTATGGAGACCATATTTTTGCCTTTTCTCGCCCTAAAGAAATGAACCCCTTTAAAGTGCCCCAGGACAATACCCTGTGGGGTAAAGACCAAAGGTTGCACACACTAGAATGCAACAGTGATCTGCTTTAATTGCTGTTACAGGATCTGCTGGAGATAAGGGTAAGACGCTATTGATTAACAACAGGAAGCCACCCACAGTGAATAAGTGGATTTTGTTTGGCAAGCAATTTTCACTCGCTGGTGTGGCTTAACATTCACATTCATAGAAGCCTTTGAAGCCTAAAAGGTGATGGCTCCTTACCTCCCTGCCCCCCCCCCCAAAATACTGGCAGTACTGATAGGCACAAAGAGATGCAAGCTTTTTGGGTGCATTGTTCACCCTGGCCTAGCAGTCCTCAATATTGAAGGTTGCATATGTTCAATTACTAAAGGGAGATAACAGCAACCATTTAATCTCTTCCACTCCTCCAAAAAATACTAAATAAAACCAAGTGCACAAAGAACAAGCAGCACAGGCAGTGAACTCTATTTTCCCTCGGCCAGAAAAACTTGAAAACTGCATGTCCCATTCAAAACCACCATCCTCCATATCTCCTTATTCAAAGGAAAGCAATAACAAGTGGACAGCTCCTACTGTTATTGGTTTTTTCCAGCTTGCAGGCAAAAGTAGAGAGTTAATATCACTAGTTTTGTCTGCACTGAAGTGGTCAGAGCTGGAATACTTTATGCTGCCCAAGTTATAAAGACAGGACAGGAATGTTAGGGGTCTACTTCAGGCAATATATTTTATTTAGAGTGCTATTAAAAGAGGAGCAACTTAATTATTTCTGTTACATGCTTTTAACTAAGGGCACCAAGAGAGCTGTCTTTCCAAGCTGACCTACCCTATTTGGGGTTTTTAAATACACTCATAATTCAAGTTATTGATTCTCAAAAGGAAATTGAATATACCCACTCCTGCAACAACCAGTAGCTAATCCCAACAAATCATCCTGCAGTCGTAATTCAGAGGGGGGGAGGAGAGGAGCAGCCAATGCCAGAAACAGTAAAGGAGCAATGACTCACTGAGATTTCTTACTTTCTGATGGTTAAAACAGGGCAGCCATGAAAATGAGTAAGACGTGGCTGACTCATTGTCCAGAGCACAGATGGGGCTAGAAGCAGTGTTCAAAATTTGCCAGGCGCTGGGTGCATTTTGCACCAGGCTATCAGTCACTTAAGGGATGCGGGTGGCACTGTGGGTTAAACCACAGAGCCTAGGACTTGCCGATCAGAAGGTCAGTGGTTCGAATCCCCGCAACGGGGTGAGCTCCCGTCGCTCGGTCCCTGCTCCTGCCAACCTAGTAGTTCGAAAGCACATCAAAGTGGAAGTAGATAAATAGGTACCACTCCAGCGGGAAGGTAAATGGCGTTTCCGTGCACTGCTCTGGTTCGCCAGAAGCGGCTTAGTCATGCTGGCCACATGACCTGGAAGCTGTACGCTGGCTCCCTCAGCCAGTAAAGCGATATGAGCACTGCAACCCCAGAGTTGGTCATGACTGGACCTAATGGTCAGGGATCCCTTTACCTTTACCTATTAGTCACTTGCGGGATGAGGGTGGCACTGTGGTCTAAACCACTGAGCCTCTACTAACTGAGCTAGCAAAGCGTGAGACTGGCATGCGCTAGAGTTCTCCCACTCTATACAACGGAGTATTTATTCCTCACCACAGAACCCCAGGAGATGGCTCAAAGACTGCAGGGTCAAAGAAGCAGTCCTCTGGCTGTGGTGCCTACTGTTATTATGAATTAGATTTGTTACCTGCCTTTCACCACAAACTCCCAGGTCTGATAACCCAAGGCCAACCTTGAACGATTTATTGTTTTAGCTGGAAGCTACCTGGACCATATTAAGACACAGGCAGGTAGCCGTGTTGGTCTGGACGTAAACGGACATAAATCTGACATCAGGAATCACAAGACAGAGAAGCCAGTAGGAGAACACTTCAATCTCCCTGGACATTCAATAAAGGATCTCTCAAACATACTCATCACTTGTGGTACAAGATGGCAAGAAACTAATTCATGTGGTGTTAGGGGGAAAGGGGCCTGAAGTTGTACCAGAGATACTGTCTTCCCCTTTATTCCTTTTTTAACCAGTAGTCTTTCTTTGCATACCACAGCAGCTACTGAACAATGAGGTCTGCCATTACTGTACTTTTAAAGCATCTTCCTCCACAGGTATGCCAACTTTAGATTGTTGTTCTCTCTCTCTCTCTCTCTCTCTCTCTCTCTCTCTCTCTCTCACACACACACACACACACACACACACACCTCAGGATTCAGGCAGAAGGTTATGTGAAGTTTATAATTTCTTTTCTATTCGCTCCGTTTTGAAATTCAGCAAAGGGTTTGTTCCCAATACCTACACAGAGAGAAAGTGTAATTCATGTTGGCCCTATTGGGTGCTACTTGACTGAAAAGGTGAAGTATTAAGTACTTAAAAAAAAAAGTCACAGAGGCATGGCAAGAAGGCTGATCTAACCCCATGGCCAGAACAAATCCTGGGCAGTCAAGCAGCCAGCACCAGCCCCACTGAATTAATTGAACGGCATATGAGAAAACATTCATGTTCTGGTGGGAATTTGGTTTATTTCAGTGCCACATGCAAAAGTGACCCCAGCTGAATGGGCACTGAAAACTTTTTTACACTGGGCTACCCAACTCCAATTCCCATCATTCCTAACCCTTGGCTACGCTGGATATTGCTGAGGGGAGTTGGAAGTTGAAAAACATTTGGAACTCCTGGAAATGAAAATGATGGGATTTAAACTCTGCTAATTCGCTAGCAACTAGTGCTTAGTATTGTTACAGAACTTGGGCGGGGGGGGGGGAGTGTTTCCCCTAAACGCTAAAATGAATAAATGCTAGGATTTGGGGTTATTTGTGATATGAAAGGAGAATATAAGCTGTAAAGGAATTCCTGGGTAGCCTGGCCAAACTGGGGCCATTAAGAGAGTCATTAACAAGACAATGGAACTTCTTGCACCAGGTGTGACCAGATTTCAAAGGTTGCCAGGGTAACAACTGGGGGGGGGGGCTTCTAGGAAGTAGGAGGAAGAAGGGCTGAGATCCATATTGGAGGAAGACACAAAGAAAGGTTCCCTACACTGATTTGAGCCATACTGTAAGATCTGGACTCCCTCCATGCAAACTAAAGGTACAAATAGGCGTATATACCCTATTTCTTAAATGACAAGAGTCTCCGCTGTGTCATCTATTCTCCAAAGGGACACCTGTGACCCCATGCGCTCTGGACACTGCTTGGCGGGGAGAGAGGGGTGAGCCCT